CAAGAAGCACTCACTGGTGATGGCCTCGGGAGGGAGGAGACCACGGAGCTAGGACTGGGCCGTCCTGCTATGGATCACACTGCTGGGTTTTGGTTATGTTTATTTTGTAAGCAGCCATCATTCAAGGAGTGAAGAGAGAGGGAAGGGAAGAAATGGGAAGAGAAGAGTGGGCAGGGACATTTATAAGTGTGAGGCAAAGGCTGAGCCAGAGGGCCGGAAGCACCCGCCCACCGACGAGCCCCCGCAGGCTGACGTGGCTCTCTCTGCCCTCAGCAGCAGTTCTCCATCCATGGAGGGTTGTGGGTTCCCAAAGTGGGTCCCCTCTGGCTCTACAAAACGACTGCCCTCCAGCCTGGTGGCCCCTGGCTGCTGACAGGAGATGAGGGTCACTGGGGGAAAGCCATAGGTCTCCAACCCAGGGGGCTGCCCAGCCTCAGAAGCTTCCAGAATGAGATCCACATCAGAGAAGGCCACCAGGGCCTGGGTGGAGTCACAGGAGCTCTTCTCCAGCTCACTGGCAGCAGCGTAGGCTAGAGGCCCCGGGGCCCCTGTGCGGGGCCAGAGCCGCCGGAGATCATCCCGGAAGTGGGGGTTGAAGAGCAGGTAGAGCAGTGGATTGAGGCAGGCCGGCAGGGGCAGCACCACAAGCAGGACAGACTTGACAGCCTCGGGAGTGACAGGGAAGAGGCCCAGCATGGAGGCGAAGCTGAGGAAGGCCACGGGACAGTACAGAAGCCCATCTGCGAAGATGAGCCAGGCCACGTGCCTCACCATGGCGCAGTCCCACACGGCCTCAAAGTCTCCCCGCGGCAGGTCACAGTAGAGTTTGATGTAGGCACCAGCCACGACCAGGAAGCAGAAGGAGTTCATCATGACCAGGGCCACGGCGAAGCCCAGGGCGGCTGGCTGGCCCTCGGGTGGGGCATAGGGCAGGCAGAGCGGGGAGGCCCCGTATTCTCCCACTGAGGCAAGGGGCAGAGCCGCGGCCAGCCCTGCCAGCGTCAGGCAGCCCAGGGCCCCTGCTCGAACGCTGCC